AAGTTTCGTTGAAACGAAGTTACGGAAAATTAATTAACACACGGAGACGTAACAATATAATTGTGGGTTGCACCCATAGTGAAAGGTGTGTAAATAACTTGGTAATTTGAGGAGTAACTGATTTTAAATGTTTATAAAATTTATTGATAACATTTTTAAACGCAACATTGCTCATTGATATGCAACTTACTTTCCTACAAACTTCAGATATATATATTATAATATTACTAAGGGGAAAAATTATACCTAATATATAACCAAAAAAGCTCATATGTAATAGAGTGGAAAACTTAAAATGCAAATAAAAATTGTAAAGAAGGAAGAAAGACAAAAAGAAACGATTTCGAAGAAAATTTAAAAGGTTAAACGACTGAACAAGGAAAATTTTTGCTTCACGTTTTTTTAGCTTCTAACTTTCAATTCCTTATTTTATTTTATTACTTATCTATGTTTATATACTTTCCTTTATAATTTCAATCTTTAGTCACGTCATTTATTAGACTGGCGTGGCCCAGTGGTAAATGTATTAAACTATGAATCCTAGGGTCCATTGCTTGTGTGCCGTTGTCATGTCCACGCTATGGGACCATGTGTGCGTTATAGTTAAAAGTGACGGTCAAATATCATTATTCGGTTGGCGGAGGGTGCTTAGTGTTGAATAGCTGTTTTCCCTCTAGTCTGTAAGTTCAAACTAGGAACAAATAGCGCATATGTTCCTTATGTAGCTTTTCAAAAATATCCGAAACAAAGAAACACATTCTTTATTTCCCTTGCGTATTTCTAGTTGTCAGTTTTTATTTTCAAATACCTGTGGTAAATAATAAACAGATAAGTAGCCGTTGCATTTTGTAAATAAAATTATATATATATATACATAGAGAGAGAGAGAGATATAGTTTGTAGTTAAGCACAAAATTACACAATGGGCTATCTGTGCTCTGCCCACCAAGAGTATCGAAAGCCGCTTTTTAGCGTTATAGATCTGCAGACATACCGATGTGTCAGAGAGAGAGAAAGAGATAAAATTGATCATTGTTGAAAGGTTCAAAGCATTCTTTTTTGTTTATCCAACATACTGGCGATCATATTTTATGCCATGTACGAAATTAAATGCAAAATAAATGTACAGAAATACATGTATCAGTGATTAAAATGCAAGTATTGCCAAACTTTATGTTGCTTTATAGTTAATTTGTTGTAGATTATATATGCAGAATATGTCATCAGAATGTGCCATTTCAAGATTAAATTTCAGAACCATTCCAAGTAAGCCCTTGGCGCCTCACCAACGGAGACCCTCCCACAAATTTCTCCATGCTTAATTAACCTACTTTTACGTCCATCTACGCCTTTGAAATGAAACCACAACACTTTATTAAAAAAACAAACAAATACAATTCAGCAAATCGTGTGTATTAAACAGAAGACAACATTACCCTCTAAATGGAAAGAGTTAAATCTTAGAGGAAGATTTGATTAAGACTGAGAAGACTAACCAATACATACATATTACAATGGTGTCAATTTTCTCATAAAACACACATCTGCCGCCCACGTTACTTAGTCATCTTATAAGTTAAAATAGAGAAAATATAGCCTCCATGTATTCCTAAATTCTCTATGACTGATGAGAAAGTTCAATGACATTGAAGGGAAATGACCCGTAATAACATGTAATTAGTATGAGAATAAGAGCGAAACATATAGTTGTTGGTTTAACTACACATAGAACATTATACGTGTGCCAAAGGCGTGTTAATGTGAAATACTTTGTTGTTGTTTTTTATTGTGGTGAACTAAACATTTCTCTCTTCTATATCAGCGGTAAAGTCAGCAATGACCAAGTTATAGAGGGTGCAGAATGCAGCCATGAAAATAATAAGAGCAGCCAAACCAAAACCCTACACTTTTGGCTTGTTTGAGCAGCTTACTATAAGACAAATGGTTTTAGCCAGCCAAGAGCTACTCAGAGCAACCACACCATATCTCACCCACTACACCAGTAAAAAATGAAAGGGCAGACGAAGCAATAATACAAAGGCTGAAATCGGTCATATCATTGGTCAATGAGGCCAAGAAAGATGAAGAGGAAATACGCCCACTGTTAAGCACCAAGAGTATTGAGTCGGTCCAGAAATATGGCATTAAATTGAACACAATGAAGACTGGTAAGAGAATGTGGTGGGAAAAGCAAGTACTAGTCAACACAGTTAAAGTCATGGAATGAACGTACAAACAGAGACCTATACTGATCCTAGCAACGAATGGCTCAGTCACGAAAGCTGCCACTGCATGGGCAAAAGAGTTAAAGAGTGAAGAGTTTAAAATATTTAATGTTTGAATGGTCAGTAGCAAAATCTGGGCAATTCATGTTAATTTAGAGCAGCATATGAAGAAGAGGTGTACTTGCCTGGTTGACAATTAAATGTGGTGATCATGACAGGATCATACGCCTGACAAATTCCCTGAATCTCAAAATTGAAGGAGATTTTACCTAAAGAACATGGGCAAAACCTCTGAAAGACTTGAAGGGCTTATTTGACAACAATCTACATTCCAGGGTACAGAGGCATAGCATTCAATTAGAAAGTTGACCATATAGCTCGTAAGGCACTGCCTTTTAAGCGACCTGGTAAGATCTCCAAAAGCTGAGGGAACAGGAAAATATGGAACAGAGGCTACAGTGATCAACAGGAAAACTGGAAACAGAAGGTTTGTTTGAAGTTAAGCACAAAGCTACACACTGGGCTATCTGTGCTCTGTCCACCACGGGTATCGAAACCCGGTTTCTAGCGTTGTAAGTCCGCAAACATACTGCTGTTCCACTGGGCGGCAGGAAACAGAAGGATGGAAATATGGAATTGGAGAGAGCACGAAAGTATGTGGGAAAGCACTTAAGTCAAATTGAAGTGGGCACTGTAACTAAAAGAACTTTGAGGAGATCATTTGAGGGAAGAAATCCTGTGCCAAACACGCCAAGGGCAAAATAGTAATAGAAGTAATAATAAAATCGTGCCATTTATATTAGTGTCTGGTGTTATAAATAGTTATGATTAAAAGTGATACACAACAATTAATAATCATAAGTTATAAAGAAAAAGTGTTTGCTGTCGGCTGGTTGTCTTCATGTGGTTGGTGGGTCGGATTTAGGGACGGCGCAACGCCATCTTTAATACAAAATGAATTTACATTTGAAGAGAGAAGAGCCTGTGCTTTGCCCGGTGGTAAACTCCCCTAGCGTGTACAAAAATTAATCACACGTCTTAGCTAAAGAGACTCTAAGAAAAATATGATACATATACAAATATATACAGCTACTTTTCAACCTGCACTATATAAATTATAAAGCATATGATGTTTAATATAATAACTAAACTCAGTGTTCCAAAAATGTTTTAATTTCGAAATCTAAGTTCAAGAGAGGTCCAGCTCAATCTACACTTTGATAAACGTGTGTTATGGGGTTATACTAGTTTCGGAAAATTCCACTCTTCATCAGTAACTCTGAACATAAGTTAACCATAAGAGAGATGATGCTTTTTATTTGCAAGCAAGCTGAAGTCTGTAAAATATTGTTCTAAAATTATATTTAATTGGAATATAGCATTTGCAGCGTGTGAATATTTATTACCTTCTCCTGTTTTCGTGGGTAATGCTCAATGTAATATTATTACGGTTAGAATTGATTAATTTTGTTTTTGTTGAGTACAGCTCATAGATTTTCAATGATACGGTCATAGACTTAGCGTGGTTCATTTATCTTTTGAGTTTATAGAAAACGCGATTCATTCTTATCGTTATGTTGAGGAGTGAGTGACTGTTTCTAACGTTTACAGCTGTCTTTAATTAAATGATAATAATATACAATTTTATTAATTCAGCTAATATACGGTAATGTTGATAGTTATGGTTTATCAGTTCACATTGAATACTTTAAGGAAGAAGAAAAAAGATCCTTAAGACAGAACTGTTACAGTTCTACTGCTATCGGTGTGCTATCATTCAGTAAAACAAAGTAAAATAAATATTTCGTTGCCTCAAATTTATTGAAGCCACATTTTACATTACTAGGCAAAAGCCTATGTTTACTTAAAAGACAGAACTGTTACAGTTCTACTGCTATTGGTGTGCTATCATTCAGTAAAACAAAGTAAAATAAATATTTCGTTTCCACAAATGTTTTGATGCCACATTTTATATTAATAGGCAAAAGCCTACGTTTACTTAAGCTTGTAGACTGTATTGTGTATAGCCTATAGGGCACTTTTGACTGTTAAATGTACTGACATTAGTTGAAAGCATTGGGGTTTCATTTTAAAATCAAGGTTTGTATGAACAGGGTAACATTAAAGCTAATAAAGGCGTGATCTTTATAGGCCTTTATTTTATGTTTTACATTGTCAGTTGGATAAACTACTACTGGCGTATTACAATTAAAACGTAGTACCAGTAACACTAAAACTTAAAAGTATGGATAGATTTGAATGGTGCGATGGGTCATTTCAGTCGAGTGAAAAGTTATTGTTTAAAATTCAGTCTGGTGTAAAATTATATGATGGTGATAATGTTACCAATTTTGTCAATGGAGGACTGACGCTGACTAATTATAGAATTTTATGGCAAAGTGAAGTTAGTTCAAGAGAATATATCAGTTTACAGTTACAACTTGTTGTTTTTATTGAGAAAGAATCTTCTGGTTGGGGAAGGAGTGGTAAAATTGTAGTCCATCTAATTGAACCATCAAGTAGAAAAGGGCAAACTAATAAAGGTCCAGTACAACATAGTCCATTTTCATTTGTCAAGTTTACATTTAAAAATGGTGGTGAGATTGATTTTTATACCCAACTAAACAGTGCAATAGAAAAGCGAGAATGGGAACAAAAGTTATTACTTGGCAAAAGTGAAAGAAAGTTGAGAACTGGCATTGTAGGAATTGAACGACAGATACAAGAAAAGCAGAAAGAAACAGATAAAAGCATTTCAGCAGCCTTTAAAGATCTTTCTAAACTAATGGACATGGCAAAAGATATGGTGTCATTATCAAAAACAATTGCTCAAAAAATCCAAGATCAAAAAGGAGAAATTTCAGAAGATGAAACCATACGATTCAAATCCTACCTTTTGAGTCTTGGTGTAAGTGATCCTGTAACCAAAGATACTCATGGAACAGGAGATGATTATCATAAAGAGTTGGCTAAAGAACTAGCAAACCTGATGGAAAAACCAATTGAAGAAGCAGGGGGCATAATGCCTTTAAGTGATATATATTGTAGAGTTAATCGGGCTCGAGGACTTGAACTGTTATCTCCCGAAGATCTTGTGAATGCATGCAAGGTTATGGAAATTTTAAAATTGCCTGTTAAGCTTCACATATTTGATAGTGGTGTTATGGTATTGAAATTATCTTCTCAAGATGATAGTATTTTAGCCCAAAGTGCATCGGTACTTGTGGAAGAAAAGGAGTCTTTGACATCAGATGAATTATCTAGAATTTTGGGAACGTCGGTTGTTTTAGCTAAAGAACGTCTTTTGAGTGCTGAAAAGAGTGGTTTTATATGTAGAGATGATAGTGTGGAAGGATTGAGATTCTATAAAAACCGCTTTCTTAAAGAAATGTCTTGATTTTTTTCAAGTTGATTTACAAGAGTTCAGAATATAACTCATTTTCAGATTTTTTTTTTAAATTATTTTCAAGGTTTATTTAAAAGTTTAGGTGAAACACAGAATTTTTTATGTATTTCTGTTTAGACGTAATTTTACTTTCAGAGAATAGATGATTATAGTTGTGCGTATTGTAGTAAGTAACTGATCTTGAGATTAAATGTCTGATACTCTGAATTTCCTCTCTGATTCACAAATCATTGTTAGTAAATTGCTTAATATTGAGAATTTAAGTGAAGGTGTTGTAATGCACATTTCGATATAAAAAAAAATAAAAGTTTTTTTTTGCTGTTTTCAGATTCTACCTTAACTCTAATAATTTCTGCTGTTCATTTTGTACCTGTATATATTGACTTACATATATTAGGCTAATGAAATTAGAAATTGTGAAACCTCATTGTTAATTTCTAAGCTCAGAATTTTTATGTCCATTAAATATATTAAGGTAATGCATTTGGGTTATAAATTGGATCTCACATTTAATATAGGCGGGGACCTACTCAGTAGCACGATTATAGAAAAGTATCATGGCATTGTGACAATTAACATTTAAGGACAACAAGGGGTCTTTTGGCTTATCTAGGCTGTCCCATCCATAGTATATACACACACACACACACACACACACACACATGTCTATAAGTATACACATACATGTCTGTGTGTATGTAAACTCAAATGTTTATCAAGCCTTCTCTTAAACTCCCTTAAATTTACTGCTTCCATTACATCTGAATGCAACCCATTCAAAAGACCACCTAACCTGTTAGAAAAATACAAATTTTAGTTGAATATGACTTAGAACTTGCCCAATTTACATTTCTGTCTCCCTGTTCTACCATTCTTATCTTTAAGTACAAAAAAATGATGCATCTACACTATAAATTCCCTTAACAATCTTATTCATTTTAATCAGATCACTTCTAACTCTTCTCTTTCAAGAGAAAACAGTTTCAGAGATCATAACCTGCTCTTGTATGACAATGTTTCCATCCTAGTAGCCCTCCTCTGAACCCTTTCAAACAATTCAATGATCTTCCAAAGGTAAGGAGCCTCAGACTGAACACAATACTCCACATGTGGCCTATCAAATGTAACCTATACGATGAAATTATAACCTCTTTAGACTTGTATTCCATATTTCTGTAGATAAAACCTAAAATCATATTTACCCTATAACTAGGAACAGCACACTGCTTGGATGGCTTTAGAGACTGATCAACCAGAACACCTAGATCCTTTTCTTCTACAACACTATTAAGGTTATTCCCATAAAAGCTGTAGTTATAATTCAAGTTATGATAACTCACATGCATTAACTTACATGTATTATAATTAAAACTCATCTATCATTTAATTGCCATACCCTTTTGTAAAGCAGTAGCATCTTCCTCCTTGCAGCCAGCAACACCCAAGACCTAAAAAAGTTACAATAACTGTAAAAGTAGTGCTCTATTGCTAAAGGTGATAAAAAATTATAGTGTATTCATTACAAATCAAAAGATATATTTAGCTATATGAATTACTAGTTAGGCCTCACTTGAAATCCTGTGAACAGTCTTGGTCTTCTTATATAAGAAAGGACATTGAGTTACTGAAAAGGGCTAATTTCAGGGATGGAAGAATTATCTTACAGGTGTAGGTTAAGATCTCAACTTATTTTTGCTTGAGAAAAGAAGGGTAAGATGTGATCTTAATAAAATTCACAAGATTATCTTAGGGATTAAGATAAAGGCTTCTTATTTTTTATTTTGCTTTATCATAAAAACGAGGACACAAAATAAATTTGGAAAAGATAGACTAGGCTCCATTTCAGACAGTTTTATTCTTGTAACAGGTGATTGATTAGCTTATGGAATGAATTAACATAAACTGTAAGGAGGCCAGTTCTTTACAGTTTAAGAGGGGAATTAATGATCACCTGAAAAACAAGTACACTCTCTGCTAATTTGTGGGGGGTGGGAGATATTCACCTTGTTTCATATTAAATGAAACAAGCTTTGTTTTAAACTTAATATTTGAAATATGTATTAAACAATTCACAAACACATATTAATAGATAAAACAATCACTTTTATCAAGATCTTTGGTTTACCATCCATGTATGGATGCTGGAACTTTATTAACCAAGTTCTTCATGTTTTACGAAAGACCAGTAATATTAGTAATAGTCTAACAAAGATATTGTATGTTAAAGGTAGTGTGTTTATTTGATTCACCTTTTAGATATGCTAAGTTAATTTAAAATACAATTTCTACCTAATTTTAAAAGAAGGTAAAGAAATGTTTTTTTCAGCAAGAAACAATGTTGCATAAAAATTGTTGTTTTGAGTAAAGTTCGAGATGATTGTCCTGATTTCTAGTAAGTAGCATTGTTTGAACAAAATTGTCATTTATTCTAATTGGAAATTGTTTTTCTTTCTTTCTTATAAATGTAACATTTTTTTTTTGAAGGGAATCTTCATCTATCAGCAAAGTTTTTAGGTGCATGATTGTGACATTTCTGCAGTCTTGAGCACAGATCTGGTGTCAGTAAAACTTACTATTTTACATTTATTTCTTACTTGGGTAGTTTTTTTTTCATAACTAAACATTTTATTATGTATAAATTGTATAGCAAATACATATTTTTTACTTATGTTGACTCTGTTTAAAGGGTAATTAATAATACATTTTTGCTTTTGTCAAGTTGGAAATACAGATTTATCATTTCTCTTAAGGTTATTCTTGTAAACATTTGATGTTCCATACTTCCAGTTATTCTTTGCTCCTTTTACAGTCCAATGTTATGACCAACCAGACTGGTATTTGTAACTCTGTATTCAACCGTGCCAAGTATTAGAATACTTATAAAATAATTTAAGCATAGACGCATCAGGCTTGCTGATGTTGTATATTACACGTTCCTTAGCCCATTGTGAATAACCCTGAATCTTCAAGTACTCAACAAACTCTCTCTCTTTAACCTTCCAATCTTGTTTCATATACCATGTTTGAAGGCAATTTATTCAAAAGGCTGATCACCCTTTAGAGAGATTTGTCTTATTTGTAGACACTGTCTACCCTGTCAAATTTTAAATCTGTGCCCCCTACACCACTGTTAGCATTAAACACAAAAAAGATGATCCATCAGTCTTATCTATTCTTTTTATAATTTTGAATTATCAATATGTAAACTACAATATTAATCTGTTTGTAGATTGGAATTATTCAAACTGTTTACCTATAAGATAAACGGATTCAGTATGATAATAACTTGTGTTCTTAATTATTCTTTGTTCATGTAACTCTCACGACATCCTAAGCAACTTGTTGCAAAACACATTTTGGAAATCATGCACGTTATAGTAATTGCTTTCAAATGGAACTAATGATGTTGTAAATAACTATTTAGTGTCATAAATATAGTTTGTAATAAATAGTCTAATACATGTATTTAACTTTTAGAATGGCTGGAAACTTCATTAACATTTACTAATTAGTTGCTTGTAAAGAAAGAATTTATTCACACCTTAAAATACTATATTGAATCATGTATATATATAATCATTAAACAGTCCTCTGTATAATGTCTAATAATGAATTTGATGACATGTCATAACATTATTCACATATCTAAATTAATTTAGGTCACCATATGGGAAAGTAAAAAGGACTCGTACCATAGATATTATATTTAATCATTTTTTGGATCAGAAAATCACTCACTTTGTATGATATCACAGAGCTAAAAATTCGCTAATTCTGCATTTTTAATTAAACCAGATTTTTCACTAGTTATGTATTTCTGTGCAAGGAATATTTAATCTGAAGAAATTCAATTTTTATGTTTTGAAAATTTTAATGACAAGATATTTTGATCAAATCTCACTGTTTTATGACTTTTTATTTTTATATACTATAAAGTTTTAAAATACTGGAGTACTTTAGTTTAACCCTTATGTTGTCAAGTGAGGTCCATCATGCTAGCTTAAGCCACTGCAAATAGGGAAGAAAATTTTATAAAAAATATTTGAAGAAACATTTAATTCTTCATTGCTTTCCACGTAAAATTATCAGATAAAGTCTATATGCTGATCTGATAAACTTGGGAGCCAGCATTATTTAGCTGGGGTCCTTATTATAATTTTGGGTAGTAGGAAGAAATAATTATAACTTGTTATTTAAATTATCTTAATAAGATGCTTCAGAACAAAGGCAAGTTACTATATATGAAGTCTTAGTAAAGAATTAGGAAATTATTTATCATAGTTTGTATTGGTTTTTCAATAGATCTCATATGGAATTTTAAGGTAAGTTACTGATTAAAAATCCTTAAATTGTGACAGTCTAAACAAAATCCTGCTACAACTATAGGCAAACACAAACATTAAAATATAACAGAAATCCAAAATAAAACTTTCAAAAAACTAGAATACAAATTTTATCACTTTCAAAAAAATAACTAGTAAACCTGTGCCTGGCCAGGACTGGATACAAATGTTAATAATCAACAATATAACATAATGTTTTGGGACAATTTGGGACCCATTGGCTTGGCTGTTTCATCCTCTAAACTAAATTAAAATAATTAAAAAAAAATCTTAAAGCCGGCCCTTATCATTCATATACTTATGAAGCTTATTCTTAAACTCACTTAAATTTACTACCTCTACAACATCTGAAGGCAACCCATTCCAAAGGTCAACCACCCTGATTTAGAAAGATGAAACTTAGCTGAAGATGACTCCTGTCTTTGCAAAATTTATATTTGTGTCCCCTAGTCCTATTATTCTCACTGTTAAATATGAAAAAAGATGATGCATCAACACTATCAATTCCCTTTACAATCTTAAACACCTCAATCAATCCCCCCCCCCTAACTCTTCTTTTTTCCAGAGAAAACAATTTTAGAAATTTCAGCCTCTCCTCATATAACAACACCACCATTCTAGTAACCCTTCGAATCGCCATCACACCAAACATGCTTGCCCTTTAAGCCATGGGGGCATTATAATGTGACAGTCAATACCACTATTCATTAGTAAAAGAGTAGCCCAAGAGTTGGCAGTGGGTGGTGATGACTAGCTGCCTTTCCTCTAGTCTTACACTGCTAAATTAGGGATGGCTAGCACAGATAGCTCTCTTGTAGCTTTGCGCAAAATTCATAACAAACAAACTCTGAACCCTTTCCAAAAATTCAATGTCTTTCCTAAGGTAAGGAGCCCAAGACTGAACACTATTCCAAATGTGGCCTAACCAGTGACCTATACAATCAAATTATAACCTCTTTAGACTTGTATTCAATATTTC